ATGTACCTAATGGATAGCCTAGCCGATCGGGTCGTGATCGGACTCCGTGTTAAAGATGGTGGTATTGATATTGAGAGAAATTGTAGTTGATGTCTCTACTGAGATAGCCTAGCCGATCGGGTCGTGATCGGATTCTGTGCTAAGAGTACGGTGGTACTGGTTTTGTGAATAATGGTATTGTGGACAATGGTATATCGATACTAAAAATCTCCCAATGTGAGATATGAAAATTAATTTGAACACTGTCTTGATCCTAAATTGAGGTCTGATGTTGATTAAGGCTTTCATTGATATTATAAAAATCTTGGTTGTATTATTTGTCATTCTATTGAGAGGGTGTTTAGTTATACATACTAGTGCTATTCGACGGTACTAATGTCCCTTTTAGCAGGGGCGCTGCATCTTTAAATGGATGCAGGTGGTTCCACAACAAGAGATATTAATCAGTGATAGCAGTACACCTTCTTCTCAGCTGACTTGGTGAGTCCCAATTCATCCCGGGGTCATATATCTTTTATACTTTGTGCATTCGGTTTAAGGTATAGCCGGGGCCTTATTGTCGGCATTATCATTGTACTCTTATTAGGCACTCGATAATCATAAATAACTTTAAGCATTTCATAAGTAGAATTCCACCTAGTACAAACATCTTTTGGAATTTTTCTATATGGAAGGTTAGCACTAGCACATTGTTGAGCAAATTCACGAATTCTACTCGCTTTATTAGCACGAAAAATATAGATGCAAGCATGTTGTACTTTACTATAAGCATCAGAAAATAAATCAATACTATCTTTTACAACCAAGTTAAAAATATGGCATGCACATCTAACATGAAAAATTACTGGATTAATTGGACAAAGTCTAGTTCTTAAGCTATTTGCTGCAGTTGTGTTAGCAGAAGTATTATCTAAGGTGATAGTTAAAACTTTATCAATGAGTCCATAAAAATCAACAATTTGTAAAATAGTAGTTGCAATATATGCTCCAGTGTGTTTTGAATTAACAAATTTATAACCAATAATACGTTTTTGCATGTTCCAGTGATGATCAACCCAATGACATGTAACAGAAGCATGGTCAAGTTGTTGTTGTAAAAAATTAGAACCCCCGCCAGATCCACTAGGAGTGCCAGTACCGGTGCTAGGATTCGTTATTAGTCCGGCTTCTATTTTAGCTTGTATCCATGAAGCTTTGTGCTCCCTACCTAAGTGCCTATTTAAACTCCTCGTCCTACCACTTTTGGTGTGCGCAAAGTTTTGCTTACATATTCCACATGTAGCATGTTGATTGACTTTATCATGTTAAAAAAAATTCCATACAAGTGATGTTTTGGGACGTTCACCCTTAGGCTTACCCCTTACAGGAGGTATAGGGGGTAAAGCTCCAGACCGGGATTCAGTCTGAGTTGGAGCTTGTGTTGCGGGACTAGTGGGTATTTCATCTAAATCTTCTTCTTCATTTTCTTCATCCTCATTTTCTTCATCCTCAAAAAAAATATCATTGCCAAATTATCTTTGTAAAGTTTTATAATCTAGTTGTTCTCCGAAATTAATATTATAACATGCGGGGGGTTAAAAAAATGAAGTTTCATCAACATGAGTCATTTCATCTATATATTTTCTAATTCTAGGAGAAGGGTTAGGATTAGGACTAGGATTAGGATTATTACTACTTTCACCTTTACTAGTTTTTTTAAAGCCAAATATATTTTTAGGTGTCATAATTTAAATATGAAATTAAATTAAAAAAAGTTAACACAAAATTTAAACACACAAATTAACTACGAAAATAGAACACGTAAAGTAAACACAAAAATTAAGCATTAAAATGATACGCAAAAATTATATATTAAAATTAGGATATGGAACGAGTGCACCATGATTAAATATTAAAACTTAAAGAAATTACCCAAAATATTGCTCCAAATACTTGACGAATTAATTTGAAACTTGAAAGTTGCTCCAAATATTTGCCCAAATACTTGAAACTTATCACTTGATAGTTGATAGTGAGAAAATTGAGAGAATAATATAGATAGAATGTAAGGGGTTTGAGAGAGAATGATTGATTTTTGTGGGAAAAAATGAAGAAGGATGGGGTATTTATAGGAGAAAATAGGGCCAAAGTGTAACTTAATAAACTTAGGGATTATATTAAAAGTTTAGGGGGGTAGGGGTATTTTTNGGATGAAACGGACATCCCGTCCCATCCCATGTCCCGTTTAACATGGGCCTGTCCCGTTTAGAATTAAGTGGGACAGAACGGGACAGGACGGACAAACGGGACGAAATGGCCATCCCGTCCCATCCTGTGTCCCGTTTAACATGGGCCCATCCCATTTAGAATTAAGTGGGACGGGACGGGATAGGACAGGACAAAAGGGACGAAATGGCCATCCCGTCCCATCCCGTGTCCCGTTTAACATGGGCCCATCCCGTTTAGAATTAAGTGGGACGGGACGGGATAGGACAGGACAAAAGGGACGAAATGGCCATCCCGTCCCATCCCGTGTCCCGTTTAACATGGGCCCATCCCGTTTAGAATTAAGTGGGACGGGACGGGACGGCCCTTAGGACAGCCTTAGGGTAGGTGCACAGATAGTCATTCTTAGGGATGTTATTTAGAGATTAGTTAGTACTTATTTTGTCATAAAATTTTGATCTAAAAATTTTTACTTAAGATATTTTTGTCACAAAAAATTGAACTGGAATACTGAAATTCAAGAAACATTGACTAATTTCTAAATAGCAATCCTTTAGAATGGCTACCTGGTATAATTTCTACAAGTTCGATGGTGTCATTTTACCAAAATACATCAATTAATGAAGGATTTTGAAAACAATAATAGGCATACTACATCAACACGCAATAAACTTGATTTTGTTATTCAGTGAGTCAATTACTTAAATGGTCACTTAACTATCCGAAATTATCTAGTAAAGTCATCTTTCTTTCCTTTGTAACACCAAAGTCACTTAACTATGCCTATAACACTAAGAAGGTCACTCAACCAGATTTCTCAAATTTTTGATCGTCAAATACCTATTTTCGTTGACATTGTGAGAGAAGTACATATTTTCAATGATAAGTATGAGGGAGAGGGAATGAGATGTGAACTGATGTCATGCTATAATTTCATATATTTTGACGTTATTTACCCTACTTGTTGTTTGGATGCTAATTTGTGCGACAATTGAGCTTAATAAAACTTATTTCACGTGTAGGAATGCTTGGACATGAAGTGGAGAAAAGTTGCACGAAATGGTACCTTAGAGCTATAAAATGGAGAAATAAAAGAAGACGTGCAAGGCAATGAAAAGTCATGGCCATAGACAGTGCAAGGCCTTGTCCAGGGCACTGTCATTGGCGCCTCTAACAGTGCCTCGCGGAGTAATATTAGTGCCTCTGACAATGTCCGCACCAACGATGCTATCCGAGACACTTTTATTTTCTTATTATGTTTGGACATGTAGACCTCAACCCTACCTTAAAAATACCTCCTAAACTTAGTTTTTAGAGGAAGACATTATTGGAGAGGCAAGAAGACTACAGAAACACTTGGAAGCAACAAATCATAAGAGTTTTCTCTTCCGTTCTTCCTTAATCTGTATTTTAATGCTTTCAATTATTATCATAATTGTTAGCATGGTTATGAATAGCTAATTTGTTAACTAAGATTTTGATGGAACCTTTTGTAGGATAAATTCTTGTTATATTTTTATATAGTTGAGCCGTTAAATTTTGCTACTTGTTCAACTACGTGTTTGTTGTTGTTGATTGAATGGCCATCAATTAATTGTGCCTATTTTGTGTGTATTGCTTGAGAGAGGGTACGCATTTAGGTAGTTGTTGAACAACATCACTCCCAACGTATGTGAGAGATCAATACAGAGGGTTTAAAGGCGGGATTAGAGATAACAAAACTTTGGCACGATCGTAGTGAGCGGTGAATTAGTGTCAACTAGCGTAGTTCGAGAGAATATGTCTAGTAAATTATCGTAGTTGCTCGAGAGAGAACTACGACACCTGAAGTATTCACGATCGGTAGAGAATAATTCGGCGAAATTATAGAAGATATAGCCGGAAAGATTCCGACAATTGGGGAAATCATAACTCTAGATCTCCTTAATCTTGTCTCCAACCCTTAGTATCTCTAGCTGTTAATTTACTACTTTAATTTGTTAGTTAATTAGTTAGATATAAGAATCTTAATAGTTATAACTTAGAAATTGTTCGAACTTGTCTTCTTAGTGATACTTAACAATTATAGCGAAGCCTTAGTTCTCTGTGGGATTCGACTCCGGACTTTTAGATCAGATTATATTTGCAGTGACCGCTTATCCTTTTTAGGATTAAAGTTGGGCGTGATCATGAACTCTTTTGAAAAATAGATGAAATTCGAATTTTTAGGAGAGATGTTGGTGAAGGGGAGAGAATGAGATGCTAAATTTAGGGAATCTTCTATTTTCTTCTTTTTTATGAATTTTTACATAAATGGTAAATATAGATATAGAATGTAATTAAGTAGGAACCTAAATAAATATGGTGGATAAGTTTCTATTATAGTATAACTAGGTAAAATAGATTTTAAATACTTCTTTTCCTTTTCCGTCCTCCACATAAAATAAAATGTTTTTTAAAAAAAAGTGGCAATCATGTAGTATTCGTCAAAGCGAGGACCATAAACTGAAGCAGAAGTTAGTTAGGAGGACCCCCAGTGCAAACCCTGCATAAGGGGAAATGCCCAAAGAGAGCAACGTGTGCCAACACGTTGAACAACGTACCTATAGCATTGTATTTATACAGGTTTCCACAAGCAGTCCACAAGCTGTCCACAAATCCTCTTAATTCCTTCACTTAACCTGCCCCCTTCCCCTTCCAAAAATTTCAGTGCTACTTACAACTTGTCACCTTATATTGTCCTCTCTACCTCTATAGGTCCGCCCCACTCTCGCTTTCTCTCTAAGCTTTTATACCGACATTGACCTCCACCGCCCATGGCTGCCGGATCTGCTAGCTCCCCAACCATTTGTTTCAAGCACAACCCAGTTCTTGGCCCAAAACCTACCTCAACAAGCCCACCAGTTCTGTTATTCTCTCCGTTAACTCGCAACTTTGGCGAAATTAATCTGCGGTGTCGAAGAAAGCCAAAGTTGACGGTTTGTTTTGTGCTGGAGAATGAGAAATTGAATACCCAAAGTGAGATTATTGAAGCAAAAGAGATAGAAGTAAAAATTGAGGAGCAGAGTTCAGCTGCCAGGCTGGCGGAAAAATTGGCTAGGAAAAGATCGGAGAGGTTTACTTATCTTGTGGCAGCTGTGATGTCTAGTTTAGGGATTACTTCTATGGCTGTTTTGGCGATTTATTACAGATTCTCTTGGCAAATGGAGGTACCAATTAATCACTCTGTTCTTCTTCTCCAGCTTAATTTTTTAGCTCTTTGTTGGTTGCATTAACCTTTTTTCTCAAAATTTTATGATATAGGGTGGAGAAGTGTCTTTTTCTGAAATGTTCGGTACATTTGCTCTCTCGTTTGGCGCTGCTGTAAGTTCAACTTTTTCATATCCAATACTCTCTCCGGTCCACGATAAGTTTAGTATTTTATATTTGGCACGGGAAATACTAACTCCTAAAGAAAAAAAATATGTATTTACTAAATTAATCTTAATTAATTGTTACCTTGATACATTAAAATATGTAAATAAGGACAAATTTTGAAAAAAAAATTAATTCTTCTTGATTACGTAAATGGACACTTATTTTGGACTAAAAAGAAAAAAATTAAAATGATCACTTATTGTGGACCGGAGAAAGTACTATCTTATAATCACGGCTAAACAAACAGTGAAATTTCTGATTATTATAAGCTGATTGCTGAAATTGAATGTTGTGCGGTGATTTCAGGTAGGAATGGAGTTTTGGGCGATATGGGCACATAGAGCGTTATGGCATGATTCATTATGGCACATGCACGAGGTTTGCAAATTTGCACTAAATTATTAGACACTAATTATTTTGATTATTGTACTTGATTTGTTTTCTAGGAAAATCAAGATTCTTGTCATGTTTTTCACCGGCAACCAAATATTGACTATGAGATGTTTTAAATAATGTATTTAATTTGCAGTCACACCATAAACCAAGAGAAGGAGCATTCGAGCTGAACGATGTTTTTGCCATAACAAACGCTGTTCCAGCCATTGCTCTTCTTGCCTACGGCTTCTTCAATAAAGGCCTCATCCCTGGACTCTGTTTCGGCGCGGTATGGTCTCACTAATTAATTCTTGATTAAGAGAGACTAATTAGGTATAAAGTAGTCAAATTTTTTTATTAGTGAAATGTTAAAAAACAAAATATGTTCTTATAAATGCAGGGACTGGGGATCACAGTATTCGGGATGGCTTACATGTTCGTTCACGATGGATTAGTTCACAAGAGATTCCCAGTGGGGCCCATTGCCAATGTACCTTATTTTCGTAGGATAGCTGCAGCTCATCAGGTAAAGTTCTTTGGGTTGTATCTCAAATTATTGTTGTGATTATAAGAAATAGATGTTTCAAATTATATGTTATTTTAGTAGTAATTGTTTTTTAAGATTGAGATGACACGTAAATAGACAAAATATTCAATAAAGAAAGATTATAGCTTAAGGTATAAATAAGGATAAAATAGTTCCCCGTTAATATATAATCCTTAATCGTAATTTAATCACACTTAGCACCGTGGCTTCATTAGATAAATATTAAATTGACTGGTCAGTTGATCTTCTTTAATTTTGATGTCTGGGATTTCAGCTTCATCACTCGGAGAAATTTAATGGTGTCCCATATGGCTTGTTCCTAGGACCTAAGGTGCCTACTCTCTCTTCCTCTCTTTTAACTTCCCTTCAAAAGAATTTTAGTCTATAGTGTTAATAAATATTTCTTATTCTTCTTCTCTATTCAGTTAGACATTAACATAATTCGGAATTAAATGGTTAAAAGAGGCTTACTGTAGATTGATTGGTTATTGGTGCAGGAATTGGAAGAAGTAGGAGGAAATGAGGAGTTGGAAAAGGAAGTCAACCGAAGGATTAAAAATTCCAAGGGATTATGATCAATAAATACTCCGAGTGGTGTAGCTCTAGTAATGAAAGGGACCTGTATTTAGCCTCTCATTAATGTAAAAAGATAGAGATATAATACAACAAGCTTGATATGAAACTTCCTTGTCTTTATTTCTTTTATTATTCCTTCTTTGTCAAGGGACGAGCCAAAATAGAAAATCCATTGCACTTTTGTGGCAAACCAAAAGAATGATAATTCAAAAAATTATAAAAATTGATCACTCCAAGATATAAATAACTTCAACTCATTTAAGAAAATATAAATTAGGCTTATTGTGTTGGTGGCAGTGGCACTTCCATTTTTCAGCGTGCCTCATTCGTTGTCGTTTGTGATTTGCGTGAGGGTGTTGGGCTGGTCGGATATGTATCAGCATCTAAATTGATCATGGTACCAAAACATTAGTTTAACCTGTCTATTGTATAAATATACATGGGAAGAAAATATTAAAATGGTAATAATAGTAATAAAATCTGTTTTAACATAAAGGCATTGCGTCACTATTTAAATTTAATTAGTGAAGCGATTTTAAAATTGTAAATTGTACAAAGTTTATATAATGAGATTATTCAGCAGATTTTATAATATACAAAAAATGGTACTGATAATAAATAAAAATAGTTTATGGCAATAAATTGCAGTTGTAGTGAAAGAGACGGTCATTGAGGTCATTGATAGTTTAGCTCAAACTTTCAACATTCATTCTGAATAGACGCAATGTTTGGCCTTCGGAACTTTCTAAGGTGTCAATTCGTGTGTGAGATTGAAAAGATAATATTTAATTAGATCGTCTACAACCAAACCATTCAAAGAACGAAAAATATAGTAACTAAAAGTTGATATAAATTAGTGAATCTGTTGGAAGGATTGTTCAAGTACAAGTAAGTTTCCTTCATTTTCCTTTTTAAGGTTACAGGTGAGTCACCAAAGAAAAAAAAATGAGGAGCTTATGAAAGTGATTTAAAAAATTATTTGGGAAAAAAAAAAAGGGAATCAAGATTATCCCCATTCTCTTATGCTACTTCCTTTTTTTTTCTTTTTCTTTTATGAGTGTTGCAAAAGGAATGGCCATTCGAATATAATGTCTTCTCCAATCAAGCAGTGGAAATTCTTTCTATTATGATTACCTCGCCTATTCAATCTCATCTTTCACTTTTCTTTATTTCTCTGTAGCGGTTTCATGCGTTACAAGAAATACGTAATTCTTTTCAAATGGAATGATAGAAAACAATTCCATGCCATCCTATTGAGTAACTTTAATAAACATTAACAAAAGGGATAAAAACCCACTCAATAATAGCCAGTGTTGCCCCAATATTCTAGGTGGACGGTCCAAATATATCTGCATAGGAAAAAGGGGAAAAAAAATCAATTCAACTTTTGTCAACTCAAGCGAGTTTTGATAATGGTCTTCCCACATCTATCGATTATCCATTTATCTTCATGCCAAGTGTTGTTTTGATACGAGAGCTACATTTATCTAAACAACAATCAAATCCCAAAAGTCCCCCTACTGGTTAATGGTTGATTTGATTGAGATGCCCAACCGATCAAGTGCGAGGTGTAGTATGACGAACCTATTGTTACCAATATAGACAACATCCCGCGTTGTTAGGTCCAATAGTACAGTTCAAAGGAAAACAATATAGTAGGAGTGGACCACAATACAATTAGAATTAACGTTATTATCTGTAGTACTGGTGCCTCCTTAATTTTATGAATAACGACGGAAATCAACCCTCAGGACTAATTTCAATTTGAATAAATAAATGATCATACAAAACTTTTTATGTTTAATTTACTGATTTTTTTGTGTGTTATTTTTAGAAATCTCAGTTTTTTTAAAAAAGCTACATAACTAGAATTTACATTTATAATAAGCTACAAAACCGACTCTTATTATGCCTTTGTGCTATGTTGATGCCGACCAGATCACGGAACCGAAAGGCATTCTTTACTTCTTTTCCTCTTTACTTCTTTTCTTACTTACTTTTAGAAGAGGACAAAAGATTCAATGAATCAATTGACTAGAGGCTTAGTATTTCATTTGACAAATAAATTTATACTCCCTTTATAGTTTATTCTACTTTATGTTGCAAGGTTCAGTATTTGATGGCTAAAGTACTTAGTTTTTGTGTATCGTGTACAACCTCTTTAAATTTTTAAAAATAAAATGTATGTATTTAGAAATGAGTTAATACCCTAAAATCCATCTAAACTATACATTTTTTGTCAGGTGTCTGCTTAAACTATCATATGTTCCCGAAAACCTCATGGACTATATCTCCCTTCATAATAAAACCCCTTCGTCACTTATGTGACATTATGTGTGTAATAAATCGCCCAAGAGCGCGTCAAGTCTAAAAAACCCATTAAAATGGCATGTCTAACAACTAATTAGCCCTTCTTTTTTAAAATTTATATTTTTTTTTTATTTTCTTCTCTTTTTCTTTACATGTCACATTCCTTCCTCATTTTTTTACCTTTCTTTTCCATTTTTTCACTTTTCTTCTCCATTTCTTCATTTGAATCCCTATGAAATTCTCTCTCTTAATATTTCTGATTTTATTTCTTATCTTTCTCGTTTTATCCATCCTTCATTTCTTACCTAAATTTATTTGAAAGATCCTACACTCTTTCAAATATTTGTAGAGCATGAGGTTTAATGTCTTTCAAGAAATTAGGGAATAAAGAAATAGGACATGTGTGTAGCTATCTTCTTTAACAATTTAGGTATCTCCTTTCAACAATCCTCACAATTTAGGACTATCAAAATCATAATCTTCTATACCGATTTAGGAGCAGAATCCCTAATTTTTATCCCGATTTTCGAACGGAAGCAAGAATAGACAATGCAATCGAGGTTAGAACCAAGATTAATGGAGAAAATCGCTACTGAGAGATTAGTGTAGCCATTCTTCGATGAGAGCAAAGAGAAAATGAGTTTTTTTTCAATTAACCCACTAGTTTTAACGCTAACTCCCTTTTTTATTTTTACTATGTAATTTTTTATAATGAATTAATGATATAATAAATAGTATTAAAATCTTAATTAAGTCTGTTTTTTAGATTATGGTAAACAAATATTCATGTAGATTGTCACGTGGCAGATTTTAAAATAATTTGGAGAGTGTATTACACGCATTAGTAAGAATGCGACGATCAGTGGCGAGATCGACCAGAAATTTTTCCGAGGGTGTTCAAACTTATTTGAAGTAAAAAAAATCCCCGATAAAGGGTGTTCAATAAGTTATATACCTTTAAAATCTAATATTTTACCTATATATGTAGTGTAATTTTTCGACTAAGAGTGGTCAATTGACCACCCTTGCCAGAGTGTAGCTTTGCCCCCGATGACGATGGGGTTTTGTTATGAAGGGGGATATAGTTCAGAGAATTTTCGGAGACATGTAATAATTTAGGTAGGCAACTGACAAAGATTATATAATTTAGACGAGTTTTACGGTATTAAATCTTTAGAAATTACAAAAAAAATAAAAAAAGAACGGTAGAAATTGAAGGGAGTAGTATGTTCTTTCGAGTAGCTTAAAGCACGGTATTTCATTTAAGGAAGGACCAATCTCCAAAGTAAAAGAGGTCTTTGGAAAACACTCAATGACATTGTTCACCACTTAAAATACTACTCAGAATGGCTAGTACTTTAAAGTCATAGAATTTATTTTAGAGCTCCGAACAGAAACAAAAAGACTATCGTTTACCCTTCAAACGATAACAATTAAATTTGTAAGACGTTTATAGAATATATGATTTAATTTAATATAAATAATTAAAGAGCAGTAAATAATTGAATTGAAATGAGAATAACGATCAAACCAATATGTAGAAATAATTAAGCCTCATGTTAGACTTAAATGCTAACAATCGACCACAACCGAGTTCTCGAGAGAGAGTTCTTATATGGCTAAGTCAATGAACAACTGAAGAATACTTAAACAATTGCTAAAAGTCCGAATAAACTTTATTGCTTTGATATGCGTGATAACAGTGATTAAAAAATATTAGGGTTCCTCTCTTTATATAGTAGAGTTTTAACCCTAATACAAGTATAAATAAGGTAAAAATCTTCTATTCCCTTTTTTCGACGAAAATATTATTTGTGGCCAGTACCGAGCGTGATCTGTGCCGCAATATCCGGCTAATGACGGATATTTCGGCTCCGCATTTTGTTCTTTTAGCCGTCTTTCCTTTACCCTCGATCTTTCGTCTTACTCCAGCTTGATTCTTTCCGGGTTCGGTCATGCCCGAGACCCGTCGTATCGCTTGTCCCTGGTTTCGATCTACAGATACCTTCGATCTCACTGAAGCCAGTAAAAAGTAATGAAGTTCCTCGTTCCACAACGGAAAATCAAGGGTAAGTTTATCCCCGATTTTACCTGTATACAACTATATATAACACTATCATAATTATTCGAACTCTAAACTTGATAACATATAAGGCTTAAATTGAATAACCATGATCTTGACTTGACAAAATATCGTTTCTTTGTAAAGAGGAAACCGACTTGTAGATTGTAAAAAACAAACTTCAATATAAAGAGATCTGTTACATTATGGAGATAATGTTTTCTAGATGTTAAGAAACAACTTTTACTACGTAATCAAACTCTTCTACAGCATATATTATATTGGTGATATTATTTCATTTAACTTCTACGTTTCTAAAATTTCTCTATTTGATTCAATGTGATATTTTTATTTCTATGCTAGCTTCCTAAACGATTGTTTATCGGTAAATTTAATTATTTCAAGTAGTGTACCTAACTAAATGCTGTCACGTAAAACTAAAACGAACGGGTATTGAAGAATAAAATCTGAGTTGAAAAGGACTGAAACTAGCACATTGGTTATTATTGTGATAAGACCATGAGGACAGGAAACAAATAAAAGGCCTCTGCTAGTAATATACCATTATTGATCACTTGACTTTAAGTTTGAAATTTAACTTTATAGGTTCTGAATTTTAGAACGATATTTTAAAGTATTAATAACTAAGTTTTAAATTAAATATTTATATATATTTTTATTGAATTTCTCAATATTAAGTTCTAGCTGAAGCCGGGCTTCTAGCGCGCCCCTGA